ACACACACACACACACACACACACACACACACACACACACACACACACACACAATGTAATATTATTCAACCATCAAAAAGAATGAAATCTTGCCATTTGCAATGATGTGGATGAAACTAGAGCATATTATGCTAAGCAAAATAAGTCAGAAAAAGACAAATACCATATGATTTTACTCATATGTGGAATTTAAGAAATAAAACATGAACATGGGGCAAAAAAAGGAGGCAACCAAGAAACAGACTCTTAACGATAGAGACCAATGAGGGTTCCTGGAGAGGAGGTGCCGTGAGGGGATGGTTATTAAAGAAGGTACTTGTTATGATGAGCACCAGGTGTTGTATATAAGTGGTGAGTGGCTAAATTCTACACCTGAAACTAATATTACACTGCATGGTGACTAACTGGAATTTAAATAAAAATTTGAGAAAGAGAGGGGCCTGTGTGCCTCAGTTGGCTAAGCATCTAGTTCTTGATTTTGGCTCAGGTTGTGATCCTGCTGTCGTGAGATGGAGCCCTGCATTGGGCTTGTGCTGAGCATGGAGCCTGCTTGGGGTTCTCTCTGTCCGTCTGTCTCTGCCCCTCCCCTGCCCATTCTCTCTCTTTCTCTCAAAATACATAAATAAACATTTAAAAAACCCAAACAAACAAAAAACAAAACTTCAGAAAGAAAAAAGGAGTGAAATTGTACCATTTTGACAACATGGAGGGAACCTAGAGGCATTATGCTAAGGGAAATAAGTCATAAAGAGAAAGACAAATGCTATATGTAGATATAAATGAATGAATGAATGAATGAATGAATGCCAAGCTCATAGACACAAAGAGCATATTGGTGGTTGCCACAAGTGGGAGCTGGGCGTGGGTGGTGGAAGAAATTGGTGAAGTGTTAAATAAATGTTCATCTATGGTCAAGCTTCGTGAATAGTAACTATTCAGTACTTCCCTATGTTTAGGATGACTTATTTCATTTATTTATACCTAACAGTTGATGGTAATGGCAAAGAAAAAAAAAAAAAAAGAAAAAAGCCTAACAACACAATAAAATTTAGAAAAGACACTAAGTCACTGGTATTCAGGAAAATGCAAGTTAAAATGATGATAGATGCTATTACTTACCTAAAATATTGATAAAACTTCCAAAGTTGATAATATAAAGTTTTGGCCCAGAGTTGGGAAAAGGGAACCTCTAATAGGAATGTAAATTGGTAGTTACTTACAGGTCGATTTGGCAATATCTGTTAAATTTAAAATTCAATTGCATACACCCTTTGTGCCAGTAATTTCATTTCTAGGACTCCACCCTAAGGAATACACAAGCGTGGACAAGGAGACAAGGGCAAGATATTTATTGCAGCATTGTTTGTAATACTAAAAAACTCCAAACAACTTAGATGCCCACCAATAGATGAATGGCTAAATTAAAATTTAGCATATCCATATCATAGAATTCTATTTGACAAGTTAAAAGAACAAACTAGATTTATATAAATCAACATCTCCAAATATTCAGTGAAAAATGTATAATGAAAAATAATAAATACAGTATAACATCTTTTATATAAAACACACACACTAAATGTTATATATTTTCTTTTTGTCTCTGTTTATGTGTGTAAAAATATTTTAAGGTATCTGGAGGGAATCAAATTCAGCTATCCGGTGGTTATCCCTGGGGAGGGGAGGGAAGGGGTTGATCTGAGATGAAGGTCAGAGGAGACTAGGTTTATGCACAAGTATTCTAAGTTTTAAAAGGAAAAATGTATTTTTTATTATTTCATAATTCAAATTAATTTTGAAAATAGTTGCTATTATTCTGTGGTATATTTGTGTTGAAACAATGCATTGTATGTACTGATGGTTTGCACAGTAGTTTTTATGCTTATGTGTTGGTGTGAGTTTTATTTATAATAGTAAATTGACTCATTGTACTAGCAGGCTTTCATGTTTATGTAATATGCAAATATATGAAAAGAGAAAATATTGAGACTACTTAAAAATCTGGACTCCCATGTTGAATTCTCTTTTAACTTCAGTCCATACCTACAAAAATTCATTTTTCTTTGGTCTATTTCCAAAAAGACAGACTATGGTAGAAAAAACCCTGGGCTGGGATATGGTCTGCGCTTTGTTCTGATTAAACAGTTGATACTTATTAGTTGTATGAGATTGGAATTTACTTTCCTCAAACAAAAAACAAAGGAATTATCATGGGGTCTCTAACTTGGCAATATCTAGGAATGGACTTTTCAGGGTCCCTGAAATTACAGGAAACAATGATGTGTAGGTAGGGATGTGCATGTTTTTTGATGGGGACGGCATTTGGGAGAGAGAGTCTTAAATGGTTCTGGAACAACAAAAACAGCAGAAGGTTTAGAGCCATTGATCCAGCTGATCTTCATTGTCCTTTTCAGCTATGAAATTCTGTTGAAGGTAATCACTGAGTCTCTTTTATACTGTCCTTTTCTCTTTCCACTCATCAAACTCCTAAAACAGAGACAAAACAGTTTAAAAGTTTCATCAATTATAAAATAAAGACTAATAATACTTAATTCTCAAAGTCAACGTGATTATTAAATGGAATAATCCATGTAAAGCCCTTTACCACCATCTGCACATAGTAAGCTAACAACAAACAGATCTTTTAAAGAATTGTAATCATTGTTAGTCTCCTCAGTGAACATGTAAACTCCTAAAAGACAGGGACAGTGTCTTTCTCATATTTGTAACTTTAGTACCAAGTATAGTGTCAGTCAACTAAGTAGTTATTAACTTCCTTCCAATGAATGAATGAATGAACGAGTGACCCTGGTGTTGCATTGACAACACCCACATTATCTGGATCATCTGGATTCTGCCAGCAAACTAATCAGAGAGGGATTGCTGATCAGCCTATCCCACATTCTCGGATTACTTGTTGAAGGAGTGCTGTAGAAATGTGAGTATTTTGTCACACATAGGTGGAGCTAAAACATTTATTCCCACAGGCTTGGCTAGCTGAGCCTGACAAAACTTGTTGGAAAGGTGTTAGAAGTGAGGAAGGATTTGGAAGAAAAGAGCAGTAGGAACTAGACAGTAACATTGCTGGAAAATAAAGCTCTCAGGTATTCCCCTACTCCAAATATTCAAAACTGGAGTTTATGTGGTGTGCTTTGACAGGCAACATTAACCCTCATCCAGCCAATGGAATTGCACCAATTGGAAACAATTACAGGCTGTAATGCATGTTTTATTGCTACTTGGAATAAATTAATTTGAATGAAATGTGATTTTGTTTATTGGTTGATTGGCTTTTAAGACATCCAGCCAGAGAAGCAGTTCAACAACATCAGAGCTGATAAAAGTCATCTTGAGAATACGAGGAAGAAGGGTTGAATGGTTTTATTAAAGCCCTCTTGACAAAAGGG